GCTCAGTTGGTAGAGCAGTGCACCAGTATCGCAAAGGTCATGGGTTCGAAACCCATTCAAGCCCAATTTTTTTTTCAGACTTAAATTTCACAGCTGCTTCAGCTGTGTATATAACTGCAATGATCAATCATGTCTTCATATTTCTCTCCAAAGATCAAATATATGATCTTTCATATGTTCACTTGAATTGTAGTCTCTGGTGTGCAAGGATCAACATTGTAAAATACATGAAGCCTAGGAATAATGTAGAAGGATAACTTGAATTTCTAACCGCAGGACTGCATGTAGACATTAAATACAGCAAAAGAAAAAAAAATTCACAGTAAGTACGTGACGTGATATAAAACATCTATGACAAACTATTTTTCGCTGGTATCCATTTCTTCACCTGGGTGGAGAGAGGCACTGTGAGAGTAATGTTTCTTGCCCAAGAACACTCAAACCTGGACCTCTTAATCCAGAGGTGAGCGCACTAACCATGAGGCCATCGTGCCTCCTTATTTTATGTGCAGTATAACACAAAACATTTTCATGGTTCTTGTACAAAACCTCTATGTTATCCATTCTGACCTCTGCCTCACACAAATTAGGATTCAAACCTGAAATGTTTTTGCACCAGAATGTCTTAAGGGGTGTATACTTGAAGCTCTAATTTTTTCAACTGTCTATTCAGCTGTAAAATGACTCCCGATTGTCATTGAGTGGTCTGGGTTCCAGCCCTGGCCAGGGAAATTGTGTTGTTTTCTTGGGCAAGACACTTAACTCTCACAGTGGCTCTGTCCACCCAGTTGTACATTGTACATTGGACTAGCATCCCATCCAGGGGAAAGTAGAAATACTCGTAGTCGCTTCACGCTACAGAAACCGGGATAAGCTGTGTCCTGATGTGCCACTTGGCTCCTATGCACACTTAACCTTTACCCAAAGACAAAACGAGCTGACACTTTAAGCCAGTTTTCAGCTACAGCTGAATCTCTCGATGTTTTGGTGAACAGGACTTACCCTTTATAAAGACCACTTAATCCTTCTTCTTGAGCAATCCTTACTGCTCCTCTTATCAAACCACGATAATAGCGATTATGAAATATGTTTCTGCTCTCATGTTGGGAACCTAATTCATTTTCCAGCTGCATTCGTGTCTTGATCACATCAATAGGATTTGTAACTGAAAGAAAACAAAGCAGTTAGTTTTATAATCAACATCAATTTTTGTAGCCATCATAACTAC